AGGGGGTGACATTTAGCCGCTGGAGATGGAGCGGTGGTGGGACGGGGGGTGGGACCACCGGTCTTTTTCCTCTTTCAGCGCTCTGTGCAAACTTGGGATAACCTTACGTGGTCACAGTGGGGGGTGAGCACTTTTAGCTGGAGCGGTGATACTGTGGTAGATACTGTAGAATCTCTTGAGGCCTTCCTGCTGCATGACCTCACTTAGTTGCTGCGCCGACGCTCACTCAGCGAGGACCAACGTTCACCTCGAAAAGGAACCCTGTTAAAATTTTTGAAGTTCGTGTTGTTAGGTGCACATCTCCCGACCTTAAAGAAAGAAATCTGAGAGGATGAACTTCTTCTTCTCTCACAGCCTCTCTCTATTGAGCTTGCTAGGCTATTGCTGTTGTTGCGAGAACAAACACACCTCGTTAGTATGTGTCGTTGCTCGAGCATGCTTCCAAGTTACTACTACAACGGGTTCTATCAAGACACTTTCATGCACGCACTCCTCACAGCTTCTGCTCCATCCGATTCCGCCCTACACGTTTCTGCTGCCCTAACGCCGGCCTAACAAGTCATGTGGATGGCTTCTAATGGCTCCCTCACGGTGGTGTAGCTTCACAATAGTTCTGTCCAAGCACTCACACCTGCTTATTTCCTGACATCTACCCCATTTGAAGATCGACGGCCAGCAACTACACCACTCGCTTTGCTAACGACATCGTTCTGATAACACCAAACATCGAGCAAGCGGAAATGCTGGCTGATTCGACTGCGCGTGTGGAAAAATCGGTCTGCAGCCGAATCTAACGACGACTATGCTTTTGCGTTCCTTGCATTTCGAGTAAGACCGCAAAACCAGGGAAATAATAAATATAGTAATTCTACGGGATGTCAAGCGGACCCCTCGAACCGCCTACGCGATGGCCAGACTTATTCGTGAAAGCTCTGGACGAATGATATGGTGTTCATCATTCGTGCCTCTCGAGAATAGAAAACCTGTTAGGCAACCCTAGCACGCTGCGTTGAGCATTTCGATTGTCAACGGTAACGCAGGTGATACTAAATATATAAACAACACCTAAAAAACCAGAATGTAGGTTAGGCTTTTGAAAGGAGTGCTCTTAAAATTTGCCATTCATGCTGATGTCTGGTTCAATTGCGGAAAATATGGTGAAAGGCATGGTGACTGAGAATCGCATCACGTACCTGGAGAGAGAGATACAGCAGAAAACGTTTTTGCATATCTTTCGTCCTTTGCGACATGCTCCCATTTTCGCGAAGAAAATTGAAGGATACAATCACACAACTCAGAGAAATCACAAATGCAATGCAGTGCAGCACTGTTATCGTTATGGTAATTGCTCGCAGTTTATACGGGATAAAAATTTGAAGTCGGGGGACGGAGAGAGCTGATCTTGCACATGTATATTCCTGAAATGGAGCACTGATATGAGAAATCCTTCCACTAGGGGTACTAGCACGTGAGAAAAGTAGTCCTATTTCCCACATGAAAGGCTTGAAATATATTTTCCAGGCAGAGTCTCAGTGATTTTCGGGTGGGATTGGACCCACACAACGACATGTGGGGGAGAGCCACTGTTCACGAGAGTTTTATTATTCTTCCCGAGTATGGCACCAAATAATTGACCCTGGAGAGGTGGACAGCTTGCTGATTCGTACAGGGTCCGTTCAAGTGATTACTGAGGCGTATGCAAACCATTTCCCCATTTGCTCGAAGAATCAACCCATTAAGAAAGAAACGCACCTCAAAGTCCCGCCTACACACTTGTTTGTTGCGGATGGAGGAGGGGAGGGGGTGTTTGGCGCTCCGCCGTCCCGTTTTCCACCAATTGTTGAAGCAGGTGGGCAACTATTGATGGAAAACTACCAATAAACGATAACGTACAGTTTTGTCGCTTGGTGAAAGAGCAAAAAGAAAAAGCGGGTTGGAGCGTTACTAAGAACTCATCTTCTTAATATGCCCATCATCGGCAGCGAACAGAACTCTCAGTAAGTCTGTCACCAGATGGGCCCGAGCGACGTCGCGGTCACCGCTTGGGCTAACTCTAAGTGGGAAATAGTAAGATGAAATCAACCGTTATTTTCTGAAAAACAGACTCCGAAAGGACATGTTGAGCAGGTGAGATCCCAAAGAGAAGCAGTCAAGGTTGGTTGATTGGAAAACTGATGAGGTGGAGGGAGTGGAATAGCAAGAGTTTCATGCTAACATCAAAAGGAGTAGTCTCTTCAGTGAAAGTTCAATGAATGACTTCAGGAGCACTTTCATTTTTGTTACTTCGAAGAAAATGATGAGAAAGATTTTGTGTTGAGGTGGTTATAGTGTAGACTCATCTGCTCGTTGTATGAAAGCAAAAAAAAACAGTCAGGTAGGAATACATGATCGTTTATATTGGGGTGTCCGGAAAGCTTTGAAAAATTTCAACCAGCCCATTTGACATTTATCAACAACAATAATAGATAGGAGTTCACACATAATAGTCATTCTCCATCCTATTTCCCTTACCTTTAGTAGGGCAATACTTTGCGTGGTAGTTGGAATGGAGTGAGTACCGAGCATGCGGGGGCGTACGCAACGGTTCCTCATTTCCGATTTGACCGTTAGAGGAGCCAGACGGTGAAGATGAAGTAGAAGGCGTTCGGTGTCGTGTGCGCTCCTACATTTCTCAGGTAATGTGTACACATACCAACCATGGGGAATAGGACCTTCTAGCATTAGGATTGATCTACAAACATTTCTCTTTCTCAAGCGCTTCATAAACGCCTTTTTATTGGGCTTTCGCTTGCAACACTTCAAACGAAAAGTGTGAAATTTTCTCAAGACTTCCCGGGCAACCTAATACTTCTCGACACTCAAAAGCAAAGCCCGCGATCACTCGCCATCAGTGGATTAGGGATTGCATATAAACGAAAACGTTCTGAGTAACTTGATAACAAAGAAAAAGCGCAAAAAACATCCAAACTGCCCTAGATAAACCATTCCGATCAAAGTTTAGACGAGCCCAATTAATTCCATCTTCACCACTACGCCCTCATCCGCACAGCTGGCTCCAAGATAGAAATTCTATGGCCGTACAAGTGATGTTTTCATGCCTTTTCGACCTGCGGCTTCGCTTTTCTTTAGGAAGCGGGCCTTGAAGAGATAGTCTGGGGGCGAAGTCACTGGAAAAAAGGTGACGTCACTGAACCTATATTCCGCTATAGCGCCCCCCCCCCCATAAAACTTTATCGCAAACCGGTCATGGTTGTTCGTCGCGGACCGCACTACCCTCCCGATGCCACGGTTTCAACTTCTATATAATCGCAGACTGTACCTTTATGACTAGAACGTACTCAACAGTGGGGAATCCCCAGCCGGCGGCTGTATTCGGTCGGTGGGCGGAGAACGGTCGTATTTGGCCCAAGAAAAAAATTTTCTGGTGGTTGCTTTTCCACTTTCACGGATGCTATTTACACGTTGGGAAAAGACCAGTATGGGGGAAGCGTACTTGTGCTTTTGAATGTGCCATGTTACGGAACATCTTTTCCACTGTTAACTTTACTTTTCTTCCCGTTTGACTGTACCCCACCCCCTCTCTCCCTCAAACAGCAGAATTCCTGGAGAATTTAAGGGAAAAACCGAAAGTTTCTTGAAAAAATTTTAGACTATTTGGTAGGAGACCTGGAAAAGTTGGAAGATGGAGAACGGGGGAAGGGGGTGGTATTTCTCAGAAATTTCCCCAGCGGCAGCGCGTATCACGATGACATAGTAGAAGTCTTCTATTAAAACCTGACATCCTCTGTCGGAATAGATAAACACATCCTTTTTCAACTCTTTTTTGAAGTTCTTTGATCTCACATTTTATGGAGCCCTCTTTTCTTGTTCTTTGCTTCAAACGCTTGCCATCTGAGCTCTCATCACTTCCTTCATTATCCACCTTAACTTTTTTTCGCCCACATCCTCTAGAGATATCCGCTCCGAATCGAGCTTTTTTTGAAAATAGCAACGAGTTTACTTACAACATGACACGTACTATTCGCGCGTGCTGCGATCGCGTCATTGCAGAGACTCATCTGCGGGATTTCAGGGTACCTTATTTCGACGTGTTTCAGCGGAGATCATGAGGTAACGCTGAAACCCTCTTCCCATCGGGGATCCTTCGTTTTTTTCGAGAAACTCGAATAAGCGAGTGGGAGCTTTGATGTATAGATCGGTTTAAATCGTAATCCGTTGTGTAGATGCACACACGCTGCACATGGACTAGGGCGACGTACTTTTCTCAAACACTGAGGTAGGATGCGTTGCTCGTGACGCCTTTTGAAACAAGTGTTGCCCTAATGTGTAGTAGAGGAAGTCATGATGACAACTGTTCTGGATCGCTATCGCCCCAGAAGCGCAGCTGCCCCCACTTTCAAATAAAGCGCGCAGCAACGGACCCTCCTCTATAAGAAATGGAGTGTATGTTTGCGTTGCCGGACGGATTTTCAAGAGCGCTGATTTATGTACCGAGAGAAATGATTTGTTCTTGGGCTGATTCCTACTTTCATTCTCTTTGGGTCGACCAATTCTAGAAGTTCATACCATCAACAATCACCTTTTCTGCCCATATCCTTGCCTCTACTTGGTCAGGCAAAATATCGAATGAAGTAATAAGAACAGGAATGATGCAGACCGGGAGTTGGATAGCACTTTTGTAGACGTGACCTGGAAAAAGCCTCATCATAGGAAGTTCCAAAATTGATAATCCACTTTTGATCTTCTAAGAGGCATCCCGAAGCTAAGGTCGCCAATATCGTAGCAGGAGTCGCAGCAACGGTGGGCGCTCGTTCAGGCAAGTGATATAGGAGGGCGATGGAAGCATAGAATATGGTTGACAAAAAGTGATAACAACTGATATGGACTTATAATGTTTCTTTCACCACATTTCTCACGAATATACTACTGAGTATTGCAGCATTGAGTTTTACAGGCAAGAGTCTCAGTGAGCAGACTAATTTCAGACTGATGCACTCAGACTACGTAACGGAGATGTCGTCAAGGGCGAGTGGGAGGTTGCGGGTGTGGTGGCGCCTGAAAAAATTAAATTCCATAAAAGTCTGCGAGCCAACTGCACCCCCCCCCTCCCTGTTGCGTAGTTGATGATGCGTCATGGTGTGTTAGGTGCAGCTCTGTTAGGAAAGGTAAGTCGCAATCGAAGCAAAAGCGTGTGAAGTTGAGAGATATCCTCTCGATGATAAGCTGCATAGTGAGCTACATATGCGGCAGTAGGCGCCAGCCAAACTTTCTAACCTTTACAATTTTTTTGGTATTCTGAATTGCCCACAGAATGGGGCCTGGCTTAGAGCCAACGAGGAGGATTGTCCCGTCGGCACCCTTCTCCTCTTGAGGTAGGTGGCAGGACGATCCCACGTTCCCTTTCGGGTAGAGACAATGAAGTAACACTCATCCTTTGAAAGCACATAGTGCAGAGTTTTTTCAGAGCTGTCAGCACTGGAGCGCGCTCTTTGTCCGATCATCAATTTGAAGCTTTTTAACCAGGGCACAGCATTCGATGGGGATTTTGGTGAAGCCCGTACGACTCCCCCCCCCCTTTTTGGGGTTCGGTACGACCCCCCTATACCTAAACTTATGAAGTTTCTTCCCCCCTCCCCCCCGAGGAGGAAGAAACTTCATAAGTTTATGTATAAGTAAGCGCGAAAAATGGAAAAAGTAACAATCCTGAATGAGGCCCCCTCGCTTTTTGCTCATTTCTATCCTAATTCAGAAAAGAGAATAGAAAAGAAAGGCCTAACATAGGAGAATCGGAGAAATGGCGTGCTACTGAAACTGGTCTATTCCGCAGCTTTACATGACTTTACAGATGGAGAAAATTTGGGTAAGTAGTGAGGGGTGGCCTCATCCAAGTGATTGGCTAGCGGTCAAGCGAGAGTTGAGTAAACAACTACATTTACAACAACAACTAACTATATAACACAAACAAGAGCAATAAATGCACTAAAGCAAAAAAAGAAAGAAAAACAATTAATTAAACATTAAACAAACGAGCAAAGCAGTCGTCGAAATCAGCTGTTGTCGAGCATCGATTAGCGTATCGGGGAAGGGATTCTGGGCAGGACCAGCCATGTGGAACGCGAGTTTTCAGCAAAGTGGGGTGTCTTTGAAGGACCATAACTTCCTCAAAAGCGGACCTGTGGGAAGAGGAGACCGTATTCGTGTAGAGGAAGGTTTGCGCTTCCTAAAAGTACTGAAACGTTTATGAAGGTCGCAAAAATCACAGAGAAATCTGCCATGAGGATTCGTTGGGGAACAATTTCAACTGAACAGGTTTAAATCAATACATTTTGTTTTTTTGTAACTCAACATTTCACAAATCTGAGAACGGTTTTGAAGATTTTCTCTTTCTAAAAACCTCTTGAACTGTTTCTGAAGTTCTCGGGATTCATGAGATCTCGCGATGGGGATTTCTTGGAGGAACACTCCCAGCTGCGCGAAAAACCCGTTTCCTGTGTACCGTTTCAAGTGAGCGTGTTCGAATAACCAGGAACGCATGAAAAACGTATCCTGTGGTGGAGCAGGAGCAGAATATGGTTCGTTTAGCGCCGATCACGCTGACTTTGGATGCGCCGCGCACTGAGGTCCGCGCAGAAGTGATGGGATGGTGCAACTTGTGCGTAATGTCTGTCCACGCGAGCAAATGTGTCTATAAGGTTCAGGGAGGTCCATGGCGAGCCTGTGCACTTGTTTACAGTGTTTTTGCGTATGATGGAACATGTCCCTGTCGACGCTGCCAGATTCGTGCTCCGCCAATTGCTGACTCCGATAAAGGAGACCAACTGCTGGAAAACGTCTATACGAACGATATGGTAGTCCTGTCGCTGCTCGTTACTGGCTGCCGCACTTACTACGACCTCCCCCCTCTCCTGGCGGCCAAATAGACCCCTGTTGGGGATTCCCCAACCAATGATGTCCCCTGTTTTTAACCCATTCGCGACCAGGCGCGTTTTTCGAAAACGGTCGCTTGGACCGGAGCATTTACGAGCACTCAGCTAGTGTCCTCCACCAGTGGTGGACACGGTCCCTCGTGACCCCTTACTAAAAATTTCAGCAGTGTTCAACTTTATGCTCCTAAAATCTCCTTTTTTACTAAACCATCGAGTGCAGGGACTATTCCTCAGGTCACAAAACTGACATTGGTCTGTCCTCCGGTGCCATTTGACGCCAATGTGCGCTAATTTAGTGCTATAGTCTTTCCCTCGAGGACCGTGGAAGTTTGCATATTGAGATGATTTGACATATTGAGGTGGCTCAAAACCTCCTGGTGGCAAGGAGGTTTTGAGCCGAGTGGAAGTGGTAGTCCTGTTTAAAAGGTCAAACCAACTCAGGAAACGACTGCAAAGCAGGGCACATCGTTGGTTGGGGAATCCCCAACAGGGGGGGGTCGTATTTGGCCGCCAGGAGGGGGGGGGTCGTAATGAGTGCGGTAGCCAGTAACGAGCGTCAGTGTGCTGAGTACTGTACAGCGAAGCTTGCTTTGTAGAGAACTCGGATATGTAAAAAAAATAGTACAAAACTTTCATTCATCAAACTAATCTGAAATAACTGGAAATATAAAAAGTCGACATCATCTCGTAAGTGACTAAACAGTACAACTCATACTCTGGTTCGCTGCGGATGATGGGGCGTGCCCGCGATCGCGCTTTAGCGCTGAGCCAACCTGTTTTTTTTTCGACAAACGACAGGACTACCATATCGTTCGTATCAGACGTTTTCCAGCAGTTGGTCTCCTTCATCGGAATCAGCAATTGGCGGAGCACGAATCTGGCGGCGTCGACAGGGACACGCTCCATCATACGCAACGGAAAACACTGTAAACAAGTGCACAGGTTCGCCATGGACCTCCCTGAATCCTATAGACACATTTGCTCGCGTGGACAGACATTACGCTCAAACATATCACCATCCCATCACTTCTGCGCGGACCTCAATGCGCGGCGCATCCAAAGTTAGCATAATTGGCGCTAAACAAACCATATTCTGCTCCTGCTCCACCACAGGATACGTTTTTCATGCGTTCCTGGTTATTCGAACACGCTCACTTGAAACGGTACACAGGAAACGGGTTTTTCGCGCAGCTGGGAGTGTTCCTCAAGAAATCCCCATAGCGAGATCTCATGAATCCCGAGAACTTCAGAAACAGTTCAAGAGGTTTTTAGAAAGAGAAAATCTTCAAACACTCGAAACCGTTCTCAGATTTGTGAAATGTTGAGTTACAAAAAAATATATTGATTCAAACCTGTTCAGTTGAAATCACTCCCCAACGAATCCTTATGGCAGATTTCTCTGTGATTTTTGCGACCTTCATAAACGTTTCAGTACTTTTAGGAAGTGCAAACCTTCCTCTACACGAATACGGTCTCCTCTTCCCCAGGTCCGCTTTTGAGGAAGTTATGGTCCTTCAAAGACACCCCACTTTGCTGAAAACTCGCGTTCCACATGGCTGGTCCTGCCCAGAATCCCTCCCCCGGTACCTCGGCCTTTAATCAGCTGATTGCGGCTGGTTTGCTCTCGTTCGTATTTACTCTTTCGTGTTTATCTTCTTCTCGGTTTATTCGAATATCGAATATTTATCTTCTTCTCGGTTTACTCGAATATCGAATATTTATCTTCTTCTCAGTTTACTCGAATACGCGTCAGAGCGCGCCCCAGCAATTTTGCTTGGACCGCTCAGAGTGCTTTTAGGAGAAGTTGGCTTAATTTCCTGTTTTTTTTTTTTAATTGCAATTGATTCAGGTACCAGAGTTTGTTTTGACTCGAGGAAAGGTGGGTGAAACCTAATGGCCTTTCTTTTCTATTCTCTTTTCTGAATCAGGATAGAAATGAGCAAAAAGCGAGGGGGCCTTGTTCAGGATTGTCACTTTTTCTATTTTTCGCGCTTACTTATACATGAACTTATGAAGTTTCTTCCTCCTCGGGGGGGGGGAAGAAACTTCATAAGTTTATGTATAGGGGGGGGCTCGTACGGGCTCGACCAAATTACGCAACAACTTGCTGTGCCCTGCTGCAAAGCCAAGCCTGTCCACATAGAAAGTTGGTCGAAAGTTGGCCTGGTTCCGGAGGCAGTAAAGGGTTGACAGTGCCTATGGTTGTTTCACCGGCGCTCTTCGGGCTAGGATCCACCTGCGCTCGCCGTCGCCTTTTTCTCGCTAAAGTCCCAGCAAGCTTGCACCTGTTCTGCATTCAAGCTCAATTGGGTAAGGGAGGGGGAAGCCCGATCACAAATAAGACATTGGTTTTTATCTTTGCAGAGCGCTACATGGCATGAGCGCCATGTAGCGCTCTGAAAAGGCTGTAGCTTGGAGGAGGAGTGATTCCCTCCTCCTAAGGCAAGCTCAGCCTCAGCATCGCATTGATAACCCTTGTGCCCTACGCTAACGTTCCTGCTAAAAATGAATGTCATATCAATAATAAGGACAGCGAATAACCCTAGTATCCAAGTTCCCATCAATTTGGGTGGAAGAGGTGATAGCACCAAATTGGCGCCAGTTGGCGCTGGGACCTGTAGTGAACGTCATATTCGTGACCAGACCAACAAAAAGCCCTAGTATGTAACTTTTCCTGAAGTTTGAAAAAAGGTAGTGGTGAGTTGGCGCGGCACCACTCTGGCGCCCCGCTTTTGATGAGGAAGGTGGCCAAACTGGCGCCTAATGGTGCCACATGGCGTAAAACACCGCGCCAGAAACGGACGTCACATTCGTGATCGGGGCACTGAGTAACCCTACCGGCAATTTTTCAGCAGAAATTTTTCTAGAGGTTTTGGGCTCAGGTGCTGCTAGTTGAATCGTGCCTGGGACCCTTATATCTGAAGATCTCGTTGGTCCACTATTTGCATAAATTAACAAAGGTATGAAGACTTGTACCACTGGGAAAAGTTCCTCGAAGAACTCGAACTGTTTCTAAAAATTTCATCAAAAGCCCGTCCGCCACATATGGTGGACATGGTCCGAAGTGGACATTTCGGTGTCCACCATCAGTGGCGGACATTGCCACGAATGGGTCAAAAGATTGTAACTTTCTCCAGAACCAACGTTTTACAATGCGATCCATACTCCTTGACAAATCTCTACCTAGTAAGTACTGAACTAGTCCCAAAGGAGATTTTACGGTTAAGCATCAAAATTATCGATAAAAATTTTTGCAAGTAAGCTTTCAACTGTTCTTCGGGCTGTAACGTCGACAGCACAAGGGCAATATAAAAACAAATGCTGGGATTTAGACAACTCCATCCTTTGACAGCCACCGAACCTTTCAAAAAAGTCAAAAAAACCGTCATTTTCCCGAGCTAACGATGGAAATTTCTCCATCACGCGGGTGAGGGACCACTAAGCTTGGGTAGTACAGGACCGGAGGAAAGCACGAAAGCAAAGACTGGGAAGCAGAGACTCTCCTTCTCACCATTCCAAACTCGTCCATGGAAGTCCATTTCGTGGGAAAACTCATCACTGAGGATTTTTTCGGCAACGAGGAAACTGATGCTTGCGTGCAAGTTGCCTCCTTTTGACATAGTAACTTTGCTCACGTGTAACTTTTGGAGAAAATGTAGGAACGTTTTGAAACCAAAAGATTCACGCTTCTTAATTTCATTTGACTACTGTAAAGTTTCAATTTTTACTGAGACTGAATTGGACCACCCACATTACCATTGCATTGGTTCCGCTTTTGATCCCTATCCCGCATTCACGTCGTCACACATTTGACTACCGCACTCTACGAGTGCGACGCTCTCCGTCCTCAGTGACCCATTAGGTCCCCTCCACTGAGGATCCCCTCCCCCTCCCCCCGAATGCTCGGCTCTGCGAAAGCGGCTCTTGTCACAAAAAGTAGCAGAATCCAGCGTGAGCTAGCGATCCGCGATTATAATTTGCGACCTGATTAGGGAGTTTGCCACAGACACCGCTTCCTTACTCTATATCCCAAGCTCTACCCACTTACCACGACTGTTGATTCCTCGAGAAATGAATGGGTTGGAGTGATAACATGGCACCGATATATAAACAGGCTGACGATGGTAGCAGCAAAAAATGAACCTATGTAAACAACCAAGAGAACTGAAAAGTGGTGTGGTGATGGAAATCCATGGCGCAATCCATGAAGCAGGATAACCCATTGGTATTGGGAAGAATATTATCGGCAAAGTGAGTGCCAGGTAAAAGAGATCGAATACGGTCGATGTCAGCTGGTAGACCAGCAAATACCATTTATAAGACCCCATTTGCTTCGTTGACTTGTAGAGAATACAGAATATACTCAGTACATTCAAAGGAACTGCCACAACAGAAAGCGAATGCATGAAGATCAGGTAGAAACCAGTGTCGAGGTCAAAGTCCTCGCATTCGATCATTGGAAAGGAATAAACAAGAGTTACTAGTTACCTCTCGAAGTAACTAATTGGTTCAATCGTGAGCACCAGAACACCTGTCATTGTGGGTGTACATTTCATGGAAGTAATTGTAGCCTCTGGTGTTTCAGAGATCCCTCACATGCTACATAACTCACCTTTAGAGTTAGTTTTCACCGGCAGGGCAGTATGGTTTTGAGACTGACATTTTTATCAGTTCTACGCACAGTAGAGAATGGTTTTCCTTTGAGGACAAATTTACACTCTTTTCCGAGGGAGGTCCTTCTCAAGCAGGGCACGCCATCGCGTTGTGAATCAATTACGACCCCCCCTTTTTGGGAGTTGGTACGACCCCCCCCCCCTCCCAGCCCTCTGTCCTTCCTCATCGAACCGAGCCGTCGAGCGGGGGGGGGAGGTCGTCAGAATTAAACTATCATTTTCAAGTGTCGGAAATAGTAGTGCGTCCGTGAACTGACCAAATACGACCCCCCTCCCAAAATGACCAAGTACGACCCCCCCCCCCCTTTACAGCGTCCGTGAAACAAGAGAAATCAACTATCAAAAAAATTTTTCTCTGACCAAATACGACCCCCCTCCCTCGCGGTCAAATACGACCCCCCCCTTGTGATGATCACAACGATACGTACCCTGGTGCGGAGTGAAGGGGTACGCAGCTGCAGTAGTAGAAACTTTCTCCACTCGAAAGTGCACGGAAATGGAGCTGGAGAGCGATACTCGCGTGCTGCCTTCATACTCTTCTGCAATATCTTAAATGTGCAGCGCTTGCGTCAACACCAACTGGCTACGGACCTGAGTGTGTTACCAGTTGTTTGATGAGCCTGAGGGACTATGAACCCCTCGCTTGAGGTCCCCCTTGGTTTGCTCGCCTGGGGTCCCGGACGAATTCGTTCGTAACGGGTTAAGTTGTCAGCAAGCCCCAGTACTGTCGTCGAATCCTTGCGTTCAGAACCAAGGACCAGGATCTCGCGGGGGACTCTTTCATCTTCCTAAAGGGGAAAACGGCCTTATTATCAACACAGGGAAGGTTCCGGTGATCTATTCAGTTCAAATTCTAATTCAAAACACAGCCTACTTGCTATCCCGAGATTTATTAGCTTCAGTTTTAAAAGTTGTTCGTGTTTGTTGTCTTTGTTTATTTTTTTTTCTTTTTATAGTGCCATCCCCTAATTGAGTATGTTTCTGTCTTTTTTCAAGCTGAGTGGCGCACCCTTGGGTGTATATCAATAAATAAATGAATAAAGACCAGTCCCACAGAGAAACACGCACTCAGTTGTAGAGAAGAATGCAATTGACCGTATGGCAGTACGGTCAATCGGGGTGGAGACGCCATCCGCGTATCACTACAGTCCAGCTCCGTTCTCGTGCTCTTTTAAGGAGGCAAAGTGGCATGTTACGACACCTGCGGACCAGCTCACCCAAGGCAAGGACCAGCATCCATAGAGCAGAGTGTGCGGTTTGTTTGATCTTGACAGTTTTTCTAACGCGAATCGAATTTGTGCCGATTGTTTTAGGCTCTCTAACGACAGGCCCAAGGTAATTTCAGCCGAAACGGACTTCCTAGCTGATCGGGGCTGCTTCAGCGTAATAAGAAATGTTCAGATTGCAGTCAAGCGCCTCGTGCTACGTGGACGTGCAAAATTAAACTGCTATCATTTACATAGTATAGTATTGTGGGTATCGTTCGCGAAGTACCGATAAGAGTTGCGAGCTGTGTATACATGCTCCTCCCCCCCCCCGCCTCCGCTTCCGGTTGAACGACCAGACAGACGCCTCTCCTCAGTTGGAGAGGCAGTTTAGGCAAATGTTCCAAATTTTTGAAAGCATTCGAGGTCTACGAACATACACTCCATACCTTGGAGGTGGGAAAACTGTGGCTGTGATTTTATTCGACGTCGAAGGACGCGTTTTTCGTGTGGCATTCGAATTCGAGACATCTGTCATATTCAGTAGCGTCCAACTTCCTCTCTTCGTAAAACCTCGGCATTGTTGTTACGTTTGATAAATTCTTCTGTGCACACGAGGTTGGTAGGTGGAACTTTTATTATGGCCTGACGTTTCGACTAGATCGTCTTCATCAGAGGCCTAAACGTGGCTCATGGTTTGAAATTGCTCTTTTTATAGTCAAAAATCTCCTCTTCCCTAACGTTTCTGACAGACTACTGAGAAAACCCCGAAAATCCCGAATGAGGGAAAGACTCACCCAGTCCACCACAGCGAGAGCGGATGTAGCCGCTCAGTTAGTTGTTAGTTCAAAAAGTGTAACTGTGCCAATCTTAGTGACTATAGTAGAAATTTCACGTCCCACCGCTCACATCAGTAGCTCGCAGTGCGACACAAATGGCAAGAGGTCATTTGTTATGGATAAGCACTCATTGCGGTTGTTCATTCTAGGATTTCTTGCAGAAATCCAGAATGCCTCTAGCGCTTTTCTGGCAGAAATCTCAGTCTCGCATGCCAGGATCGTGCACTTCACATCAAACTCGTTTCCGCTGTGCTCCTCGATCAAATGCTTGCCGAGTGGTGTTCTTATATTACCACGCCTTTTGCCAGCAAGATGTTCTTTGACGCGTATTGCTAACGGTCTTCCAGTCTCCCCAATGTAGGTTGCGTTACATGCCAAACATTCAATTTGATAGATCACACCACTTTTGGCGCAATCTCCAATTGAACCTTGTGGACAAGTAACGCACTGTTCTGATATGCACTGTCGTAGAGTCTGTTTTGCACCAGTTGGTTTGAGTTAATATTAGGAGTACTAACTAGTACAATCGTTGTCCAGCTATGCGCGAAAAAAGACATCTCTGAATTGCAGCAGTCACTTTATCAGATATGAATGGTATACATAGCGGGAGCTTGTTCGCGCGGTACGCGTCGGTGCTCAGTGTGAGTTCTTCTACGATCAGCCGGTAGGTAGGTCCATTCGGTATGGTGTAACACGTGATTCCCTTGCGATGGGCCGTCCACACTACAACTTGACTAGCTCTGCTTTTATCTTTTTACTTTTGTCTTGCACTCACATTATCAAAATACCATCACCCCCTCCTTTTTTCTTCTCGTAAACGGCTCTCCGCTGAAGACTCCTCAACGGACGCCTGACCATGCTTCTTCTGGCTGTTTTCATACAGCTTGAATGCAATCAGTTAAAGGTATTCGATGTCTAGAAGTGATCAAAGTGATCGTTATACTGACTCGCTTGTTTAGAATTGGAGCGGTATTTCGAGCGTGCTCCTGATTTGTGCATTCTGTTACTCACAATCATAAGCACGGAATATTCTAGTTTGAAAAAAAAATTCCCAGGGATCATAAGGCTGCGTTTATACTTTGCGGCAGCGTAGCGTAGCGTAGCGCAGCGTAGCGTAGCGCTTCCAGCGTACGCCAGCGCTTCCAGCGTACGCCAGCGGCAGTGCCGAAGAGAAGATGCATATCGATCTAGCTTCACCAGCGTCACCAGCCGGCACGCTGGCGTACGCTAGCGGCACGCTAGCGTACGCCAGCGTTTCTCCAGCGTTTCACCAGCGTTTTGCTAGCGTTTGCAGCGGCAGGGGAGTAGAGACTATGGGAGAGCTGGAGGGTACAAAACACATCGATTGCGCGTCTCTCACTCGCCCTTAGTCTCTACAATGCACATCGCTTCTGCGTCTCCGACGGCCACATGGTCTCTACAATACACGTCGATTCCGCGTCTCTCACGGCCACATAGTCTCTACTCCCTGCCGCTGCAAGCGCTAGCAAAACGCTGGTGCCGCTGGAGAAACGCTCGAGAAACGCTGGTGAAGCTAGATCGATAGCTATGCTTCCCGTGCCCTCGCTACGCCAGCGTGCGCTAGCGTGCCGCTGGTGACGCTGGTGAAGCTAGATCGATATGCATCCAGGTACAGCATCGTTGTGCTAAACCCATAGGGGTCGTACTTGGCCGCTGGAGGAGGGGGGGGGGGTCGTAAACCTCAAGGGTCACTCAGAGCCGAGCAATGCTTCGACATTTCAGTTGATAGTGGGAGTGGAGCTATGGAAGTCAAGATGTTATAAAAAAATGAAGTTTATTATGAGTGTATTCTTTACAGCTTTAAATGCTACGTTTAACAGCCCTCTTTTCATGGGAAATCCCCAAGAATGGGTTCGTACTTGGCCGCGGGGGACGTGGGGAGTATCGCAAAAGTAGGCTCGCTAGGCATCAAACAGTACAAAGGTGTCATTGCTAAGGGTAATGGAACGGACGGAAAGATTCAGAAGACCCGGATGTAACTAGGAATACAAAATAATAAAAGATTTATTAGCAATATAGCAAGAATAAATAAATAAATAAATAAGTGTCAGTTTATAGCATGAACTCGTAAGTACGTAGATGACTAAATAATACGTCTCAAACAGATTCCTGTCGGGTCCTTTACAAACCCTAAACAAACATCTGCTTGCATGGATAAAAGCACCTGAAATTAGAATTTACACCTTTCCACCACCTCTCCGTAGGAGCCTAATGCACGGCGCACGGACCACCGATTAGCGATAGCCGAGCTCCTCTTCCTCTCATTTGAAGGGAAATATGTATTTTGGAGGCACACTGAAAGCTGTATCCTCACAACTGGCCACTATAAGAGTCATTGCGGTGGTTCCAGGGTAGCGCAAGGGAAACCCATCGAAATATCTCCGAAACTAGTGCGGTCTTCAGAAAACCGAAGACTTGAGAGAGAAAGAGGAGGGTTTCAGGACGTTTTCAATCCTGATGAAATTGCGTTTGAACGAAGCAATCCTCGCGTGAAGCATGGAAACCAGCTCGCGATTTACCCCTAGCCTATCCAAAACCCATCCGGAATATTTCACCAACGGGGATTGTTCAGTTTGCAACTAGGTAGAATACACAACAGTAGAAACTTTGCCGTTGCATGCTGCACCATTCCTCGAAAGCTCCGCACCTAAAAAAAGATATAACCCCCGAACAGACCCCAGGACGTTGGCAAGTAAAAAAACCGCGCTCTAATGACGTT